GACAACCATGCACCACACATTGTGCTAGACACTGGGCATATAACCATAAATATAGCAAAGATCCTTTCCTCTGGAAAACTTGGTATCATTTCTGTCATCTTTCTCTAGTCTGAGCATCCCAATTTCCTCAAATCTACTTTCCTGAGATATCACTTTGAGATCCTTCCACCCCCCTAGCATCATGGAACTCTCTTGTAAAAGGGCCTCCATTTTTAAATAGCACTCTAAGGAGCTGCTGTCTCACATTGGATACCGGTCACTTTCCCACACCCGCCTGCAGGTAGAATACCTCCCTCTTCCCTATCTCTGCTCCTGGTAGGTTCTTCCATTGCTAGAATTTTTTAAACTAGCCATTAATTATCTGTTTAAGTGCCCCTCTTTCTTTTACTATGCTGCTACCTCGTTGGTAGCAAATGCCATGTCTTCTCTTTGTATCTCCGGGCCCTACATCATACCTGACATGTAGTAGGTGCTCAATAAACATCTGTTGGAGTGAATTGAAATGAAAAATAGTTTGACTTACATAGTTCCCTGTCTGTCTGTTGGTGGATTGGTCTTTCTGGATATCCAAGACACAATAACTCTTGAGTTTAGGGCAAACTAACAGCCCTCAGACAATACCATGTGTACAGTTTTAGTGTGATCACACGTATTTTGTTCTCTTTTATGTCTAAATGTGGATCTTTACTCTTGCCCATATTCTGAGTTAGAATTAATGAACAATTTTAGGCATTTAAACTCCTTGTGAATCTCCATCAGTCAGTTTCCCAGGACAGCAGTTCTCCTGCCCAGTTACAGACTGCCTGCGAGCTTAGCCAGCATACACCATAGATTCATTTAAGTCTTTGATAAAAATATTGGACAGACCAGAGATTATATCAGAATCCTGTGACATACACTAGAGGTCTCCATCCATGGAGACATTGATTTATTATTCACCACTCTTCATATGAGCTACAAATCTATCTTACTCCATCTTGTACGCAAGGAGATTCTGAGAGATTTTGTACATGCCTTCGTTAAAATAAAGACACGCTGTGTCTTCCACATCCCCTGTCCTACTAAAATATGAGTTTGATCAGTGAAAGCTCCTTTTCATAATTCCACATGGGCTCCCCAAATCAGAGATTCTGCCCCCTCCCTCCCCCGCGCCCAGTGCTCACAAATAGGATAAGTTCTAAAATTTTGTTTCTCATTTTGTTTCATGGTTACTTGTCTATAGTTTGGAGAGTTCACTCCCTATCTTTTTAGACATTTGAGGAGCTCTACAAACCCTAGATTCTAGGTGATTTCTCAAAGCTGAGATTCACCAATGTTAGGTACCATGTTGAGAGGCTCGTACTTTTACTTTATTAATGCAGTGATTCCCCATTCAGTGATTTATTTTTATATTTTGGAATCTATTTAAATTCACTTAAAATACCAGGCACTCTGTCCTAACCCATTTACAGAAATAACAGCCTATACAGTTGTTACCTGCACATTTTCAGATATGATACATATGGACCACAAAGGTGACTCATGTCTACCATTTTACGTCATTTTTAGAAGGACAAAGGAATATATGTGCCTCATAAAAGTGTGGTGATCTATAATAATAAAAGTGAAATATGCTAATTAGACCAGATATCCTTCCAGACGTCCTTCCAGATGACCTTCCGGATAAAGCCGGGGTTGTGAGGGAAGCCTGGGTCCTGGGTGCCAGAGGGAAGTCCGTGCCAGCAGCCGGGGTAAGGAAGGCCTACTCCTGCATGAATTTTGTGCATTGGGCCTCTAATGTAGTAATAATAACACTATCTTTAATTATGCTTTTGTACTTTTCAAATAGTTGAATAATGGATACATTAGGAAAATATTGCCTGATATTGTCCACTTGTTAAAACCAATGCTGTTATTTGTAATCCCAAATTATTCTCTATAGCATCATATCTGTGGGAATAGTCAAATACATCAGTGATTGGGCTTACTAGATGTCTTGCTTTCTCTTTATTGCCATTTTTATAACTAACAGAGTAAGATGCATTCTTGTACATTGAAAAGAATACTCCCATGTATTCTCCTCTACACACACTCACAATACCTCTGACACCAGATATGTGGGTTTGCTCCAAACAACTGACCAATTCTCTGACACCAGCTGGATGTCCGACATTTCAATTTAATTCTGGCACTGTCTGCCTGGAGTTAGCATCCGACCCCCCAGGTTAACAGCTCAGTCTCATAAGACTGCTCCCACTTCAGATGTCAGTCAATCATAAGTAGTGGATCCCTACGTTACCTACATTTTGTCCAACTTGACTACAAATTGGGAGTTCCCAAGGCCATGCCTCAGGTTCAATAAATAATTCATGATAGTGGCTTGCAGAACTCAGGGAAACACATATGTTTAGTGTTAATTATATAATAGAGGTAAAAAGAGACTGGAGGGTTCTGAGCACAAGTGCTTCTGTCCGCTTCAAGTTGGGGTGCTCAACCCTCTTGTCACTTGGATGGGTTCACCAACCTGGAAGCTCTCTGAACCCCATAGTTTGGGGATTTTTATGGAGGCTTCATCATGTATACATGATTTATTATTAACTCAATCTCCAACCCCTCTTTCAACCTTGGAGGTTGGGGGTGGAGCTGAAATTTCCATTCTTCTAATCAAGGCTTGGTCTTTCTGGGGACAAGCTTCTACCTTGAAGCCAGCCCACCAAAAGTCACTTCATTAGGACAAAAGACACCTCTATCACCCAAGGAATTCCAAGGGACTTAGGAATCAGGGCAAAGGCCAAATATTACAACAAAATATGCTCCTAGTGCTCTTGTCACTTGGGAAGTTACAAGGGATTTTGGAGTTCTGTGCTAGGAACCAGGGACAGAGACCAAATATTAGAACAATAGATGCTCCTAGCACCTTCATTGTTTAGGAAATGATGAAGGTTTTATAGAATCTCTGACCAGGAGTCAGGATGAAGACTAAAATATGTATTTCTTACCATATCACATATATGTATGTTTATTTAAATACCTTTGTGGTTATTTCCTTATGGGAAGTTTTTAGAAGTGGAATTTTTGGTCCACAGGTATGTATTTTTTAAAGCCTTTGATACATAGTGACAGCCTCAAGACTTTCCAATTTGGACATCCCCTAACCGGATTTGAGATTGCCTATTTCTCTTAAAATCCCAGGTCTGATTGAATTTTAAATTAATGGCTTAGTTAGTTGATTTGTCAAGCTCAGCCTGATGATGCGGAAAACAGTGTAAAATCAACCTCAGGGGATGGGCCCTTAGGGAATTGCACCTGAGTAGTTCGAGGATGGGGACTTGCCTTGCCCTTCTCACAGCTTCACCATCCCCAGCTTTCTGATTTCCAGTAGCTCTCACCGTATGTGGGATCTCTCACACTGGAATGGGACACTGTTCTCCCTTTAGTTGGATCTGCCAGTCCCCTAGTTCCTTGTGGTTCCTCCTTCTCTTGGGTGAGTTATTTCACACCAGGCTCTCGTCTTGAGGATGCTTAGGTGTGCACAGACTCATGGGTCTGCCAACACAGCTGGCTTCAGAGCCCTGAAGTTGGATCCCACACAGTAATTCATTTTTCTAAGCTTAGTTAGGACCATGATGACTTCAATGGGAATGAAAGTGGAGGCAATTAGTAACTATGACATTTAGATTCATGTGTCCAAATAAATCTTGAGATGTTTAAAATTCTGTAGGTTAAAGCTGTGCATGAATCAAAGTCAGATACTGAGAATATGTATATGTCATCACTAAAGTTGACTTTTACATTCTCGATTGTTTTGGCAAAGAGGAGATGTTTCTATAAGAAGCAGATAAAAGACATGAGAATAAAGATGTGGGATTATTATTTTGGATAAGTTGGCTGGAGTTTAGACAATTATGGGTAATACCACTTAGGGTGTATAGGTTCCCCCAAACAACCATACCCCATGTGACAGAACTTTTTCTATAACCCCATAAACTCAATTGGGAACATAATGTCCTATTATTAAATTTAAGGCAACCTTTTGAAGTCTCTCTGTCCTGCATTTCTATCTCAGGAAAGTATTTTTTAAGATGTTGAACAATACATTTCCTTTTTCTTTGTGGTTCTCTTTTTAGTTTTTTTTCGTAATGATCTTAGCATTCAGAGATCTGTGGGAATTTATGTTAGGAAACATTTAATACAAATTCTGAAATGCTATGCTTTTGCTCATCCTTTTAAACTCAACTGAAGATGGTACCAGGATGTAGGTGCCCTGAAGCTTGCTTGTGGGCTGGTAATTAACAATGATTTCTGGTGCATAATCTGGAAATTTCCTGGTGGCACCATGGGTGAGAGAATACCTTTATGCCTTTTTTGTCCCAACAGTGACCACAGTCACAGTCCTGTGGTTTCTTTCTCATCTCCATCGGCTGTGGCTCTGACCCACAGCCCTGTGGACTTGCCTTTGAACACTTACTCGCCCTGGTAGAATCAGCAGTGAAGCAAGAGTGTTGTTGGGGTGTTTGCATTAGCCATGAAGAGAGGGAAAGGTTCAGCACCTATCTGTCTACCTTCTCAGTGAGACCACATAGTTTTCTGAAATAATATTGTATTGCATTTGCAGTGATTTCTGCAGAGAGGAAAAATCCGAGATAGGAAAAAGTGATACTCATATGTAGAGTAGCCTGGTGTTGGGAGTCATCCTATATAATAAAAAGCTAATATGCAAATTGTCCCCTTGACCGGAAGTTTGACCCGGAGTTCAACTGAGAGGTCAACTAGGGGGCCAGGCTGGCCGGCCAACTGCCCATGGCCTCCCCCCCCCCGGAATCCCCCCTGGGCCGGCCCGATTGGCCCCAATTGGGGTGGGTGGCTGGACCCCACCAGTGCATGAATTCGTGTACCAGGCCTCTAGTTTAAAAATAATCACTTGAACAGCTTACTTTTTTAAATGATGGATTCCCTCTGATTTCCTGTGCTTATGTTCTGTTGCTAGCTAATCATTTTTGTTTTTGTCTTCTTTGTTCCAGGCTAAACATATTTTTGACTGGCATGAACCCATTTTACTTTCATGCAGTGAATGTAATTTTGCATTGCCTGGTGACTCTTGTGCTGATGTACACCTGTGATAAAACTGTCTTCAAGAATCGTGGACTCGCTTTTGTTACGGCATTGCTCTTTGCTGTGCATCCTATTCACACAGAGGCGGTGAGTGTAATTGGAACCCAATGAAATAAGAACCAAAAAACCCACTAAACTGATCTTTTTTTTTCCGTTTCAAAACCCTGTTAATTTAAAGCTCTACTAAAGTGTTTATATATAAATCATACTGCTTGGCAACTTCTCTTTTTGAATGTTCAAATGGTCTTTATTGTACCTCCAGGATTTAATTGCTTTTCTGAATAACCACTGTTATTATTACAGGTAGTAATAAATGGCCACCGTTCTTTATTTGCAGGAAATGTAAGTCCTAATGCGTTTTTAACAACAAGGGGAATTCTGAGATACTTATCATGCTGGCTCATTGTTCCCACTCTGCATTTATATTTTACCTTTTCTCACTCTGCTTTATATTTAAAATATTTACAATGCAGAACTGTAAGTGCTGGGAGGAGGGCTATAAAAAGTTAAATTGACATTCAAGTTAGAAAGACAGAGTTAGGAAACTAAAACATCGTTTTTCAAATTATCTAATATGAAGTGTTGTTATTTTGTGAAAGATGAGTATCCTTCCTTATATAATAAAACCCTAATATGCAAATCGACTGCACAGCAGAATGACTGGTTGCTATGACATGTACTGACCACCAGGGTGCAGATGCTTAACACAGGAGCTGCCCCCTGGTGGTCAGTGCACTCCCACAGGGGAAGTGCCACTCAGCCAGAAGCTCTGAGCTGGGTTCATGGCTGGTGAGTGCAGTGGCGGTGGCGGGAATCTCTTCCGCCTCCACGTGCTAAGGACCCCTGGGGGGATGTCTGCCTAAGCAGCAGGCGGACATCCCCCCAGGGGTCCCGGACTGTGAGAGGGCACAGGCCAGGCTGAGGGACTCCCTTCCCCCAGTGCACGAATGTCGTGCACCAGGCCTCTAGTTTACTTATAAAGTTAGATAGTTTAGATCTCTGGTCCCCTTTAAAATGTGACTTAGCCCTGGCCAGGCAGCTCAGTTGGTTGGAGCATTGACCATACACCAGAAGGTTGAGGGTTCTATTTCCTGTTAGGGTATATACCTAGGTTGAGGGTAGGGAACCTGTTATCCTCCCATATTTGTCCTTGTCACTCAACAGAGTGCCTGCATCAAGCCCAGTACTCATGAATTATTTGTTGATTATGTAATTAATAAAACAAATTTTTAACCATGGCAACATGTTTAAATGTAATCTCAACATGTTTAAATTGAACCTCCTCCCCCCAAAATTTAAATTTTCAGTCCTTCCTGAGAAAATTTATGGTCTTGTTTTTGCTTTTGTTTAACAAAGGAGAGCTATATGTCCTACTAACCCCCTCTCCCACCCACTACATTCTATTTTTCTTTTTAAAAATAATGTATTACTATGTCTTCTAAAAAGCACATCTCTTTTGTCTAGTTCTCTGTCCTCCTCCTTAGGAACCTGAACTATTATCTATAATTAAATAATAGTCTCTTGATTTTACTTCCTAGTATAGATTGTTATGTAGACCAAATTTCTCTGCCTCCTTTATCTCCTTGTGAATGCAGATAGTTTTTCTAACACTTTTTCCTAAATAAATGTCTAACTCTTAGACTCTTTCCCCCTTATAATTGTGTTACCATGGATTTTTTTTCCCGATTACAACAAAAGCCTGTTAAAACCCTTTCTTAAAGGTCAATTTGCTAACAGGATTTTTCTATTTTTTATTTAGAATTCAACCTAACTTTATCAGCTCATGATCACACTGCCAAAGGCTACCTAAGTTTTATGTTCTCCTACTCTGCAAGAATAGAATTAGGACTGTTATCATCCTACGCATTGTTCTTTCCTGAAGAAAATTTCTCCCTAACATTCTAAACACAGATTTTCAACTGTATTTTAAAAATTATGTCAGAAACATAATATGGTCTATAATTTAAAAAATTGGCTTTGAGGACTGGCTGGCATTGCTTAATGGTTAGAGCATCAGCCCATATACCAGAGGGTCATGGGTTTGATTCCCAGTCAAGGACAGTAACAGGGCTTGCAGGTTTGATCCCTGCCCGCAGTTGGGGTGCGTGTGGGAGGCAACCAATCGATTTGTTTCTCTCACATTGATATTTCTGTCTCTCTCTATGTCTTCCTCTTTCTCCCTTTCCCCTTCCCTTCCATTTTCTCTAAAAATCAAAGGAAAAATTATCCTCACTAGAAAAGCTAAAGCACATACCCATAAATACATAGAAAACCCAGCAATATCCTAATATATAAAAAGCCAGGGGCCATCACGACGGGAACAATCAGATGGATGACCAAACAGCAGGCTGCATGGGGTGACCAGGCCGGCAAGGGGTTAGTGAGGGATGACCAAACCACTGAACAGCAGGCTTCATGGGGTGACCAGGCTGGTGTGGGGGGGGCAGTTGGGGGCGATCAGGCCTGCAGGGGAGGGCAGTTGGGAGCGACCAGACCAGCAGGGGAGGGCCGTTGGGGGTGACCAGGCTGAGAGGGGAGGGCAGTTGGGGGCATTAGGCAGGCAGGCAGGTGAGTGGTTAGGAGCCAGTGGTCCTGGATTGCAAGAGGGATATCCAACTGCCGGTTTAGGCCCGATCCCTGGCCTAAACCAGCAGTCAGACATCCCCCAAGTGTTCCCGGATTGGAGAGAGTGCAGGCCGGGCTGAGGGACACCCCCCCTCCATGCACAAATTTTGTGCACCAGGCCTTTAGTGTTATACTAAAACAAGAATCCCAGCAGAGGGAAAAATTATTTCCAATTTAAGTAGACAGGGACGAGTTCACTTATTTACTCAATTTTTCAACAAATATTTGAGAGAATGTAATGTAGTCCTCATGAAGGGAAATAACAATGAATAAGATAAACGCAGACCTTTCTTCATTTAAGGTCTTGTGATTCCTGGAAGGGTTTCTTGATGCTATATTTCTTGGGAAATTATGAGAAAAATCAGTAATTGGGAAAATGGGGAAAATCAGTAATCCTCTTATGAGAATTAAAATTTACTCATGATGGAGACAAGACATTGCTGGTTTGAAGGAATGCACTTTAGTAAAAAGTATGAGCAGGAAATGCTGACATCTGGAGTTGAATGTTAATGTCAATGTTTCTAGAACTTGCACAAGATAACAGAGGAGAGAATTGTCATGATCAAATCAGTCAGTCCAGCCTTTAGCTGTTGCCAGGTATTAAATGTGTGTTCCTGGCTCTGTCTGACGCTAATGGAACTCATCCTTGCAGGTAAAATGATGAATAACTTGATACAAATCCTATGAGTGGTATTCCAAGAAGTAATAGGTTTTGGGAGCAAATTAAATCCATAATTGGCAATTTCCACATTCTCTTAAGCTTGCCCAGAGATCTGAATGTTACATTATTTAAATTCTACCCAATTCACTGATGTTTTTCCACTCTTTGAATATTTAAAGGATACAGGTCTCAGGTTATAACTACCCCCTTGGAGATGGAAACCTGCAACATCAGGCAGAAATACATGCTGTCCATCTGCATGTATTATTGAGCAAGTCTTTTTTCACTTCCAGTACCCTCCAGTTCAGCTGACTTTGTCACGGAATCAAGCCCAGGGGGCTCCAACTTAACATTCCATCTCTGCTTTCCATTGTCCATGTCTGCCTCCTTTTCATTTACTCCATGCTCTCATTCCCTTATGCCTTGCCTTCCAGAAACCCTCCCGGGTGTGCTCAGGCCTCTCTTTCCTCGACCTGGAATGCTTCTGCGTCCCCTCTCTGGCCCAGGATTCACATTCTCCCATCCTGAGCTCCCTGAAGTCTTCCTCAGCTGTCCTGTGTCTTAGTGTATAAAGCCAGCCTTTCCATGAAGCCCTCCCAGATCCTACAGTCAAAATTAATCCCTTTAGTCTTCCCATGGCAATGATTTCTCCTCTTTAGGAGACAAGCAGTTTCCCTGTGGCATATTAATACACTCTTTTTGACTCCTCACCAGATGTTAAACTCCTTGTGGCAGGCTGTATCCCTCCAGCTGGCATAATACCTGGCAAACCGGAGGCACTTGGAAAATGTTTGTTGACTGGAATAAAACAGGCAGTTACTGAACATGATGCTATTGGCTAATTGAATCACAGTGAGTGGCTGGTCTAGGCATATAGTCATTGCTGACAAGCATCTTTATTTTAGACATCTAACCCCTAGCCCCAGAGATCCTAACTGAACACGAATATAGAATAGGTGTTCAGTAAAGGCTTGGTGGATAGAAATTGGCAACAGAGTCTACCAGTATTAACACTAACATTTTAACACTCATGCTGACCAAGGGACACTGCATTTTTTATATCTGGGCACACACAGCTGGCATATTCTGCCGCTGCTGTTTCCCAGCAGCATTAACTGGCTGCAATTCGAGAAGCAGGCGCTTCAGGCGCCTTTAATGCATTAGTTATGCTTGCCTCGCTTATTATTGCCTCATGCCAGCTTGCTACACCCACTATCAGCTTGCAAGTCTTGCTGTTGTCCAAGTTGGCCACATCAGTTGTGCTATGATGGATGTCCCTCTGGGCCCAAATGCCTGGCCTTATCCCAAGACTTTGTTGCTGGCCAGCTGGACTCTCTGTTTAACCCTCAGGAGGCCCTACAGCTGATGCTGAGCTCAGTGCTCATGGAGGCAGAGGTGTATACTGAGCAGATTTGGGCTTCGCAGGTGAACCTTGTGCAATTAATTGTTGCTTTACAGATGGTGAGTTTGAGCTTGGCCTTGACACCAAGGTGACACCACAGTCATACAGTCTTCCTGATTTGGGACTCAAGTTCTTCCTAGATTAATAGATCGATGAACAGTGTGTGGTCCAGGCAGCCACATTAGGTAACTCTGCACTGACAATGAAATTATTTGATCATGTCCAGGTTTCTCTTGGTATCAATTGAACTAGAATTTTTCTCAATATGTGACTTGCCATCAATCTATATGCAGGCATATAATTGAATTACTTTTATTCCTAGTTTAACTAATAGATAGATTATTCAATAAAGTTAAAATATCATAGAGGCAATCCTTAAAGTAGAAAGATGACTTCCATAAGCCACACAGAACATCCTGTCCCGGGGCTAAGCGTTGACCCCTTTCTCTGCCGGGAGCAGGAAGAAAGAAGGGCGCCAATGTTGAGCGGGCACTTTATATGCATCATCTCATTACTTACAGCAGGAACATGAGGTAGGGGTATTGTACTCATTTTCAAGATAAGAAAACCAAATTTCAGAAATTAAAGATAACAAAATTGAGTCTCACTCTTACTCAAATGGCAAAGGTGTCTATGTTCAAGCCTGGGATGGTCTAGCTCCCTGGTGCGGCATTGCCTCTCCTTTATCACTGCAAAGTGTGCTCATTTTATGAGGGGATTTATATGTATATTTCCCAGAAAACTATTTTCTGCCATTAATTATTGACTGAGTCTCAAATACACTGTGGACTTCAGGTCTTGTATGATTTGGGTGATGCTATATTCTGTGCCTGAAATGTTAACCCAGTTCATTTCCCTGGTGAACTCCTCATCTTTAAGGTCCAACTCATCCGTGACCTTGTCTTTGCAGCATTCTTTGAACCATATGCCATTTTTTTTCCTTTACAGTTTTCTTCCTTGGATTTAAAAAAATTAAGAGAAATTCACACACATTTTAAGCTGTGTAATAATACAAAAATTTATAAATAGCCCTCTGTCTCCCACCTCTATTCCATTTCGGCTCCTTTCTGAATAAAAATTTTAAAAAAATAATATAAAACTTAAAACAAATATAATGAACATATATTCTTTGTCCAGAATCACCAATTTTTTTAATATTGCCACATTTGTTTTACCATTCTTTTTATCTTTCTCCCTCAATATATAAAATTATTGTTTTCTGAAGCATTTGAAAGCAGGTTGCATTTCATGCCCCTTTACATCTTAATTTAGATGTATATTCTAAACTAAGGCCATTAGTCATCATTTCACTTTAGTCTCCTTAAGTTTGGAACAGTTACTAGTCATCATATCTTTCTGTAATATAATATATAGCTTTAAATGTAATTTAAAACTTATGTTAGAATGTATATAACAAAATGTTATTAATATTATCTTTATAACTTTGAAATCCATAATGTTATATAACATATGCTACATTACACACTTAAAATATAAATATGTAATTCATACTACATATTATATGTTTTTAGTATTTAATGCAATATTTAAATGCAGTGTATTAAAATTGTATAATATATAAATAATAATATCAATATATTCTATGTAAATACATAATATAGAAATACATAAAAATAAAATACATAAAATGTAAATACATAATATATATTATGTAAGTACAACATATGCCTATAATATATAATATATTGTGTGAAATATCATATTATGATAGATTATAGTGAGTTGTGATATAATTATTAAATCAAGATATAATATAAATGAGAAGATATATTTAATATTATAAAATTATAATATAGAATTATTATATTTTAGACTTTATTAATTTAAGTATATGTTAATTTATGTATTTTATTAGAATATTCTTATCTTGGGTTTGTCCTATGACTTTTCATGATTATATTCAGGTTATGTGTTCCTGGCTGTCATACTACACAAGGGATGTGTCCTTCAGGGTACCACATGCTTAGGTGTGCCATGTCCATTTGCCCTTTATTGATGAAGTTAAATTCTATTCCCTAGTCAAGGTGTAGTGCAATGTAGCACATTTTCTCCATACTAGAATTATTCTTTTTATTTATTCAGCTAATACGTAATTGGTGAGGAAATGGTTTGAAGCCCTGCAAATATCGTTTGCCTCATTAAACTTTCATACCTTAGATTTAGCATGCATTGATAGTTTGTGATGTTTCTTGAGCGAGTCAATCTTTACTCATATGGAGAAGCAAAATGGCTATTTTCCAACTGCACTACTCCCTCTATATTCATTAACTGGATTTTTAATGTAAGGAAGAGCTCTCCATCCTTTTTCTTTCACTTGCTTACTGTATATATGTAGGTACTTACACATGCATTGGTCCATCTAGCCATCCATCCATCCATATCTTTATTATCATTATGCATTCATGAATGTCTTTTCAATGATTTATAATTTTTAAAGTCTTTATTTTGATGTTCAAATTGTCTCATATTTGGTCAGTGGCTTGTCACTGGTTTCTGTGTCCTTTTGACACATGACCCTGTCGTTTTTGTGCACTTTCTTACTTTCTAACATGAGAAGATGATCCATCCAAGCTTCTCTTGCGGCTCCCCAGCCTCAGCCCTGCAGCCCATGCTCTCCTTAGTGCCGGGATGGCCCTTTGCCCCTGAGGTGTTTGCTTTTAGGCTCTTTCAGTGACAGAGCTAAGAAATACACACATGTACATTTACTCACATATAGCAATGATGTGTTCAGACTCATTCCCATTATTCCCATTCTTGTTAGAATTATTGATTCCTCAACTTATTTTTACTAGTGCTGTGTAAATGTCTTCTGCTCCACTAGCATTCCAGGCCCAAAGACTAGCACACTGTCTGGCACTCAGTCATTGCTCAAAAAAAGTTTTTTGAAAAGCCCTGGCTGATGTGGCCCAGTTGGTTGAGTGTCTTCCCATGTACCAAAACGTCTCTGGTTTGATTCCCAGTCAGGGCACATGCCCGGCTTGTGGGCTTGATCCCTAGTAGGGGGCATGCGGGAGACAGCTGATCTATGTTTCTTTCAACTGTTTCTCTCTCTCTCTCTCCCTCTCTCTCTAAAAAAATCAATAAAAAACATATTTAAAAAGATATTTTGAATAAAACAACAAATCAAGAAACTTTGATGCTGTGAATTAACCTTCTATGGGAGAAAGGTTAAAAACGAAGAGAAGCATGGAAATCTTGCCCCTTCTTCTTTTCTCCTTCTATAAATGTATCATTAAATATATATATGATAACCAGAGATGGTTAGACTTTGAATAACAACATGTTTCCCATTTTATTACACTTTTCAGTCATCTAAATCCAAACACATTTTTGTAATACTTTACTGAAAGTAATTTTCTGAAGTTTTAATTTTTAATTTTTTTCCAACATCCTAGGTAGCTGGAATTGTTGGCAGAGCTGACGTATTAGCGTGCCTGCTGTTTCTGTTGGCCTTTCTCTCCTACAACAGGTATGAATAGCTAAGGGTGTCCTTCTCTGTGATTACAGTCATGCTCTCCTTTGGGAATTTCTGGTGTGTGTGTGTGTTCTCAGCATCTGCCTGAGAGGGGAAGGAGGCTTCTTGGTGTTGAAATGCTCAGAGAGCTCCCCCGAGACCTGGCATAGGACATCCTCTCCTTTCCAAGTGCCAGGTGTTCTCTCTTCCAGCCACATTCTGAACCCTGTCATAGCCTTTGTAGCAACTGCCCTCCCAGGACTAGGAAGACAAGCTCTTGCTTCTTGTTTCCTTTTACTTACAGTTTCTGACTGAGAATGGAATTTGGAATCATAGCTCTGAGCAAAAATAAATGGGGTGTAGTCCTTTCTCTTATTTGGCTATGATTTGTTCAATTTTTCCTTTTCATTTTGGGTAATCTTCCCCCCACCCCCACCCCTGCTTATCCTCATTAAAGTAGCTCAGAGCTTAAAACCACTCTGAATTGAAAGTCATGGTTCTCAACTGTGGTTTTCCAATTTACATATCCTTTCAAAATATACAGAAGCTACTTGCTTTTGGGAGATTAAAAAGCAATAAAATAATTTTCCATTATAGTGCCTGTTTCCCCCCAGTGTGATCAGGTTCTCACCTGTGTTATGAAATATCCCCAAAGGGAAAGGAGCAGATTGAAAAGAGAATGTAAATAAGGGCAGATGACTCAGAGGATGGCCCAGAAAAAAGGGGTCAGTGAACCATGTTGCCCTCCTTCGTGGAGGATGGCCTGGCCTGGCTAAGGATTTGCGAACCTTGATCTTTGGATCATTTCATCGATCTATACCCTCACAAAGCCCAGGGACTCTAGCAAACACTGTTCTAAACCAGTGGTTCTCAGTATGCGGCAAATTTGCCCCTACATCCCCAGGGGACATTTGACAATGTCTGGAGACTTTTTGCTTGTCTCAACTTGCTAGACTGAGGATCCTACAATGTACAGGGGCAGCCTTTACAGTAAAGAATCATCTTCCTCAAAACTCCAATAGCACTGAAATTGAGAAACCCTGTTGTAAACCAATTTAGACTTTGGATCCGGAATGGAATGAATTGAGTCTTAGGAAGTTCTGGTAAAGAGCAGAGCCTTTAGTATAGTACCAGTCTTCTAGTCCTGGCTTTGTGACCTCCCATTGCATTGCTAGTCATGCATAAAGATGTGAAAATCTTAAAACTATAAATCCAAGTGCAACAATTGTTTCCTGTTTACTCTGGTGTCAGAACAAGATTAATAATTGCTTTTAGTTTAGTTTCAACTTGTTCTTTTGAGCTTTCTCTGTGTGTTTAGAAACACGATTGGGCCTGCAGCGTAGCCATGTTTATGCGATAATGAGCTATAGCATCACAGGTTTCTGTTGTGCGTGCCATTCTCACTTTTAGCAATTTAAGGTATAGCCCAGCATTGAAGAAGAATGCATATCTACTGGCATATACTTTTATGCAACTGCTTTTAGACATAAGAGTAAGGGTAAGACATCACAACTACAGAAACATTGGCCTTTTCTTCAAAGGAGTGGGAGCCGATGGGTGTGGCGCCTGCTGGAGGAACTGCGGCGTTTCTTCGTGTGGGGCTGTTTCCCTTTGTGAGATGAAAAAAAGACTTTACAGCTGGAGGGCTCTTGAAAATCCCTGCTGGAAATTATACCGAGAAAAAAAACACACCTTTATCTAATATGGCCTTATGGGAAATAGATTTAAATATGCAGATGAGGCAGAAGAAAAGAAAAAAAGCTAAATCATCTGTATTTTCATCACAGAGAAATGATGATTATGTTATGTGTGTGTGTGCGTGTGCGTGTCTTGTGTGTGTATATATATCTCCACTGATTTTTTTGTTTTGTGTACAGAAGCATATAAAACACCTTCACTAAAATAATAATGGTGATGAACACTTAATATATATTTAGCCACTTAATGAATTCTCCCTCCAACACCGTGGTCCCATTTCACAGGGAAACAAACTGTGGCAGAGAGGCAAAGTAACCGGCCCCCATGACCCTGTTACTTAACTATAGAGCTATGATTGGAACCCAGGAAACCTGGCTCCGGAGTTCATGCATGTGGTTTAGTAACCTGTGTTATTCACTTAAAATATATTCACCTAACCATCTTTCCATGTAACTGACTATGTCTCTATGGTAGCATTTTAAATGGCTTTTTAGTGTTCATTTATTATATGCCAGGTTTTGTCATAATTTTCACATACCTTAATTTAAGTATCAAAATCGGTACTAGGCATTTACTTTTTTTCATATTTGCAATTTTACATAACTCTATTATTGAAGAAATATTTGCTCACCTACTTATTTAGAATAAAATGAAATTGATGCTAGATCTTAGTGTTAAAAAGTGGTATTTCTTAGCAATCCACATTCTTCTTATATTAGAAGAATCTCAACCTTGTTTTTCAGGAGTGTGGACCAGTGCTGTGTTGGGGAGTGTTTCCCTTCCACGGCCTCTCCTTTCTTCTTGCTGCTCGGTTTGTTTCTGGGGACCTGCGCAATGCTGGTGAAAGAGACGGGCATCACAGTGTTTGGAGTGTGCTTGGTTTATGATCTCTTTTCCCTATCCCACAAGCAAGAGAAATCGTAAGTCCATTTGAATGTTTTGATGTTAAGCAGTGCGTGGATACATGGAACAGACTGGTCGATGCCCAAGGGGAGAAGGGTAGGGGGTGACTGGATAAAGACGGGGAAGGGATTAGCTAAAGAACATATATGTCTATGCCATGGACATGGACAATAGGTGGTGAAGGCCAAGGGGGAGGGGGAGGCGGGCCAAGGGAGGGAAAAAAGGGACACCTGCAATAATTTAAAAATTATTAATTTTTAAATTACTAATTACAAATTTTTAATAAAAAAGTTATCAATTAAAAAAAGAAATAAAGATTCCAGAGCCAAGTCACAAGAAAGTACTTAAATCAGTAATTTTAAAACTTCATTAAAGATATAAAAATATTTTTGTTAAACGTAACTTCACCTTAGACCATAATATAACAAGTGAGCCTTGTTTTATTAAGATAAATGTTCCAACTCTTCACACTTTTATAAAAAATCAGTGGGAACTATAAAATTTTTGTGAGCCCCAAATTAGGAATTGAGAAGTATCTATACTGCTTATAAGTTTATATTAGCAATATTTTCTGGTTGTAAACCACTGAGAAATCTTGATTCACACAGAGAAGTGGTCACAAGTGGAAACAGTTTGTTAACAGTTTGCCTTGAACCTGTGCATCCAAATTAGTGTTATCCATCAAAGGGCACTGCTGGGTTGGAGTCTGCTCTGGAGTTGAGTTGTTACCTAAGAGTTTTGTTTTGAAGTTTCACAAATGGCTAATCTAAACCACGCAGGAATACTCACACGTCATATGCAAGTCAAAGTACACGTTTTATTTAGTAGCCCGTTTTTATTTTACAAACTTAAGGCATATTCATTTTATCCTGTGTACTGTAGCCAATAAAAATGACTACGGCATATTAATAGTTCTGACACATACCATAATTTTCTTCCTCTATTAATTCCATAATTACTAACAATTTGACATGCAGACCCCATTTTTCAGTAATTATAAGGTTCTTATTTTTGAACTTTAAAAAATGTGGTTGATTTATTTTCCTGCCTTGTCCAGTGAAGAATTTTATCTTTGAAAAAAATCCTGCCTTTTTATTCTATTTCCTACTTCTTTATACTTTTTGACATAAAGATAAGAGCAGGGTTGTTGAGTGGCAACAAGCTGAGATTAACCATCACATTCTGATCACCTTCCTGCCTATCTGTACTTAGACATCATTTAAGTGGAGTTTAGTGCTCTGTTGACTCCCTGTGAATCTCCGAGGAAGGAAACCCCATTATCATTTTGACCCGAGCTCCTGCCAAGAAAGCCACGAGCCAGAGGCCCTCCCCTTGGCTTATGTGAGAGCGTCTTTCCTCTATATCTCTATATCCTCCTAACCGATGGAAGCAATTGCATTGCTCGCCTTTTGTTCTTTTTTTTTTTTTTTAGAAAACAACCTGTTGACCTCTCTTGCTTCCCACTTTCTTCACTTACTTTCTTGCATTCCTTTTGTCTCCTCCTCCTAGCTTCTTTCTGCTTTGCCTCACTGACAGCAGCAGGGTGTGACAACTGACTGCAGACCCTCCCCTTTGGTCTTGTCCAGCTATTTGAACCTCATCACTGAAGTCCTGTCTCTGTCTCCTCTGGCCTCGGGACTCTGCAGCCCAGCGTTGCCTATATTTTCTTCTTTATCCAGTTACTGTGGAGCCAGGCTTTTTTCAAAGGGGATAATTGTCTCTTTTATCCTTTTAATAATCTTTCCTGACCTCCATGGTAAACCGCTAGAAGGTCTATGGAAGGAATAATATGCCGATATATAACTTAGATGTTGCACAGCTCATCATCTGTGATTTTTAAAAAAAGTAACTTTGAACTCTCAAAACCAGCAGCTCTGCATAAGTGGAGACATTCATTTATTCCCTCCACCCATTCAACATATACTCATTCTGTATCTGGCCAAGAATAAGAGATAAGATTCCTTCCCTCAGAGCGCATGTCCAGTATTGGGGGAGACAGACATTACATGAGTAATTACTGAGTAACTGCAGCTGTGAGCGTGGTGAGAAGGAACCAGAGCACATGACAGGGAGACCTGGCCCATGATGGTTAATGCCTCCCAAGTTCTGGCCATGTGCCAGGCATTGTGTGTGCCAGGCCACTTACAGGCATGAAGTCACACGGTGCTCACAACCGCTGCCCTCATTTTGCAGAGGAGAAAACAGAGGCACAGAAAGTAACCTCTGTAGAGTCACCTATCCCTGAGTGGAGCCAGAATTAGGTCCCTTGTCTTTATGGCTCCATGAAGGAATGCGAGGCAGAGACCTGGAGACCTCCCAGAGCACCTCTGCTCAGGAATGGGGTGCACACTTGTACCAGGACACCAGCTCCGAGGTTCTGAGTGTATTTCTTGGGGGTCATGACCCCTTTGAGAATTTCACAAAACTGTGTCCCCTTCCCCCAGAATAATGTACACAGTTTTGCACAAAACTCTTAGGGATCTACACCTGTTTATTTGCTACTTTAAAATAAATATCTTGGCACTAGGTTGTTTTTGAGGTCTTTCCTTGTATGATTCAGGCAGCAGGAAAGAAACAGAAACAGAAACAAAGGTTGGAAGCACTTTCCTACACGAAGAGCAATTTATTCCTAAATTTTAAGGGAACCGCACCAATGGAGTGGGATTTCTTTTATTTGACATCACCTATAGGAAAAAATATTTTTAGTGAAAAATGAGCCCCTAAGAGTTAAATTTCTGTTTTTATTTTTTTAAATTTAGGATAAAATTTCCAACATACAAACAATAACATTCCCTGACCCCAGTCCCTAACACCTCTCTCTAGAAGTAACCACAATAGTGAGTTTGGCACTTTTCATTTCTATGATTATTTCTATGCCATTATTTCCTATGTATATACCAGTGAATACCAAACAGTATTACTTAACATATTTTCAAACTTTATATAAGTCACTTGCTTTTCTTTTCATTTACCATTAGGCTTTAAGATACATCATTGCTGATACAAGTAGCTATAGTTCATTCACCTTAACTGTTGTATGGTATTTAATCATCCCAATTTATTTATCCAGTTTTCTGGATTTGGAATTTAGGTTATTTTCACAACGTTTGCTATTCTAAACTATGCTGCAGTGGATTTTCTTGTGCAAATACCATAGGAATGGGGTTGCTGGGACCACAGACCGGTGCCTGTTCACTGTGTCACATGCTGAGATAAGTCCTTGAAATGACTGTAGCAGTGTCTCGGGATCCCTTTGCTCACCATCACTTGGTAGAATCAGACTTTTTCAGACTTGTCCATCCAATTGTCATGAGTTATGTCTCTGAGGATTCATGAAAGAAAAATTTAATCACAGTACTTTGGATGGATCAGCTATGAATGGGATTTTCCAAGTTCATAATTATGCAAATCCTGAATACCACTTCCATTAAATATTATGAGAAAAATATATTTGGAGAATCAGGGGTGAAGAAGAGTGTGTGTGTGTGTGTGTGTGTGTGTGTGTGTGTCCATATATGAAGGACTGAGTCCTAGTTTTCTATATTAGGAAGTCAATAAAATAATTTCTAAAATCAAAAAAAGAAATAATATTATACTTATGTTAATTTTAAAATACTGTAGTCCATACCAGAAACAAAAGAGCTAAAACACTTGAGAATAGTTGCTTCTAGGAGCAGGACTTTGCGGGGGGACAGGGACTGCTATTTCTTGTTGCAAGCCTTGTCGTTCTGTTTGACTTTTTTAGGAGCAATGGGGTCATCCCTCAGCGCAGCCCCCAGCAGCCGGGGAGCCCCCAGCCCTCACTGCCAGCGCACCCCCTCCGGCAGAATGGGAAGCAGCAGCGGTTCCCTCACAAAGGAGCCTGGAGTGGCTGCCACTCCCCATTGCCACCAGAACCCAAGAGCAGTGGATTCCCGGTGTCTCCTCGAGCTGTGTGGTCCATGATGAGGTACTGTGCTGGGCTCCTGGACTGTGTGCGTCTTCACCATCCAGCATCACCTGTGTGGGCTGATAGGAGAATGGAAGCCTTGAGTCGGGTTTTGTGACCTCCCCCTCTCTCCTTGTTTCTCTGCCTTTTTCGTTCCTTCCCTTCCTCCCTGTATTAGATCAGATAAGAAAGGAGTAGCTGGAAAAAGCCCTGCTCTCTGCTGTTATTTAGAAGCAGGGGGTGAGGTGTGGGTCTGTGAACACTCAATTAAGGAGAGCAAACGTTTTCTTGTTTTCCTGGGGGAAGAACCTTGTGTGACTGGCTTAGAAAGATAAATATCACATGATCTCACTCATTTATGGAATATAATGAACAACATAAACTGATGAACAAAAACAGATCCAGAGACAGAGAAGCATTGATCAGACCGTCAAACCTCAGAGGGAAGGTAGGGGAGGGTGGGGGTAAGGGGGAGAGATCAACCGAAGGACTTATATGCAAGCATATAGGCCTAACCAATGGACACAGACAACAGGGGGGTGAGGGCATGAGTGGCGGGGGGAAGGGGGGTAATGTGGGGATAAGTACACATATGTAATAACTTAATCAATAAAAAATTAAAAAAGAAAGAACCTTGTGTGGAGACCCCAGCCCTTGGTTTTCTGGGGGAGGAGAGCATTCTACCTTCCACTTGCTGTCTCACCTTGCTCTTGTGTGTGGTAGGAATTTATTACAGCATAAGTATGGGAGGAAGCCCAGGGGACTCTGCCTCTCAGAAATGTTTGTGGGGATGCAGGAAAATCTTTACAGCATGGGACTTCCTTTTCAAAAATAATTTCACCTAGCCATAACACTTAACATCCATTTATCAGAACAGGTGCTCACTAAATTAGGTTGCCTCTAATCTTGCTCAAGCCACGAGCAAGCCAGAACTTAATAAATATGGAAATTCAATTCATACTGTTAGTACTTTACTACTTCAGATTGCTGTTCTTATTTTTCTGTTCATTTCTAGAAAAATCCCTCGGTTTCAGGGTCTATGTTTCCCATTATTTCCACCTTTCCCTGCTTCTTATTTTTTTGCCTCTTGCTTTATTCATTCATTTATTAAATATCTGTTTTAAATAAAATACCCACTGAGTGTCTACCACAAGCCAGACACTGTTCTCGTTACCAGGGACATCCTGGTGAGTAAGAAAGACAAGGTCTTTGCTGTTATGTTGCTTCCTTTCTAGTAGAAGACAGGCACTGGATAAACAACAGTGAATGAAGTGATGGAGAGGGACACATTTGCATTGGCTGGTCAGAGCAGGCCTCCTGCAGCCTCCTGAATGAGAGGAGGAGCTAGTCCTGAAAGGATCTGGGCACAGGGTCCCAGACTTGGGGTAATGAACACGTGGGGATTGGAGAGGCCAGGTCAGGAGGTGGGCAGGTCCCAGATGATGAAGGGCCATGTTAGCCAAGGAAACAAGTTTCAATTTTATTCTGAGTGGAATGGAGAGACTTTGGAGGTGATGTTGCTTTTGCTGTTGTTATATTTTGTTTTATCTTAAGTTGATAAGAAATGGTTACATTAAATATTCTGGCTTCCTCTTGGTACATGATGTTGGGGACACGAGTAAAGCACAGAAAAGAGTTAAGTTTTACACAGACAGAGGGAGATGGAGATGGGTGAACAGCTGTGGTGGGTTTGGGATACCTTTTGGATACAGATCCCACAGGACTTGCTGATGTTTGGGGTGGGGGAAAGGAAAGGAAGGAAACACGGATTTGGGGGTGTTGGCTTAAACAGTTGGGTGGACTGTGGTGTCAGTTACTGAGATGGAAAGTCAAGGGGACCTGAGGGTTGGGGGGAGAAATTCCTGAGAAAGAAAGAGAGACAAACATTGAGGAAATCTTGACCTTTATGTAGAGGGCCATGGAGGCAAAGGAGATAAAACATTTGGGGAAGTTGTTTTTAAGGAGGCAAAGGAGGAGAAAACAGAGGAGTAAATAGGGATTTGTAGATTTCCAAGGCAGGACAGAAGTCAGATTGTAATGTGACTGAGTTCCCTGAGGGCAGGGCTATGCTGCGTTTTGCTCACATCTGTATCTCCAATTCATCTCAGTGTCTGGCTAATGGTAGTGGCACAAGTATTTGTTAAACGAATACATTAATGAGAGGCTGGTAAAAAGTGTTGGAATTAAGCATACTTATTCAGAAAATTTGGCAATGAAGGAGTGGGGAAAAAGGATGGTAACTGGAGGGGGGGTAGATTTTTGTTTTCATTTTCATTTTAAATTTGATGGACATGTGTCTGTATTTAGACAACGTGTAGAGAGTAGAGATGAAAGATGCTGGAGCAGAAAGGGATACGATGAAATATGAATACTAGGGTGTGCTGGTAAATGTTTAATAACTGGCTCCCAAAGCAAGGAAATCCTGACTTATAGTGTTTGCCAATTTCCATGTAAATAACTCCTACCAGGGCTTATTTCAAGCTATAAATGTGACGACACTGAAAGTGAGTTGGGGGAGAAGTGCTATAGCTCACCATGATGCAATATTTCCACTGCCTAATAGACAATAGACATAAATAACCTGAAGAGCATAGACAGCAGTAAAGTAAAGATAACTAATCAGGAAGTGATAAGATTTTAGTATGTATCACCTTTGTTTTTGATAAGATTAATTTTAAGTTAATATCATTTAATTTTGAATGATGGCTGTATTTAATAACTGGCTTGCAAAATACCTAAAAATTAAGTAGTCATTTCTTGCACACCACTGTGAGTCAGCTGCCACCCACCGGTGAAGAAGGTCCTTCAGGGGGTGGAAGACAGTTTCATATCTGTTATTCGTCTACTACGTTCCAGGACATGGCCTAGCAGGTCCCATACGTTATCCCATGCAGCCATCACACTAATGCATTTTAGGTAGATATAATCGTCCCCCCACTGGAGGAAATGGAAGATCTTAGAGATTAAGACACCTGGCCCACATTTACATAGTAAGGGGGAAGGTCAGGATTGGAACTCAAGCTGTGTGACCCCTAAACATATGCTTTGCCCGTTTGCTGGGCTCTGAAGTCCATATCCTAGGCAAGGGCTTAGCCCTGGTGATGAGGCAGGACACTGGTTTCATTCTCTGTGGAGCTGGCCTCCCTGCTGAACTCTCAGGGGTGGACAGATTCTTGCTGCCATCCTTGGATCACACATAAGGCACCTCTTGACTTGCTTTGATCTATGGTATTGGTGCTAATACATTTAATTAGACAGCATGCTTTTGTAGGTTCTGTTCTGTTCTTTTTTCACCTCGAGCACCAGGCTGTTTTAGAGAGAATGATGCCTGGAGAATAATACACAGCTCAGCTGGAACTGGGTCAGAGTCTCACTACGTTAACCTGTTTGTGGGCGGGAAGGACCATTATCCCTCCTTGGGAAGGAAAATTGTCAATAGTTTCCCTTTTTGGAAAGTAAACGTGTCATATACTGGAGTATATATTTAATTAGTATTAAAATTATTTTTGAAAACTATGCTTATGTCAGAAGGTGATCAGGTTAAGCAAATAAAAGTTCAAAGAGGCAATCTTATCTTAATTCTTAAGAGCTCTGCAGCCTTGGCCTGTGTGGCTCAGTTGGTTGGAGTGTTGTCCCATGCACGGGAGGGTTATGGGTTTGATTACGGGTCAGGGCACATACCCTGGTTGCAAGTTTGATCCCTGGTTGGGGCACATACAGGAGGCAACAGATTGTTGTTTCTCTCTTTCTCTGTCTCTCTCTCTCTCTCCTCACTCCCCCTCTTCCTTCTCCTCTCTCTAAAATCAATAAGACCATATCCTTGGTGAGGATTTTAAAAAAACAAAACACAAAAGAGAGCTCTGCAGTCAGCAGTTAAATCATGGCTCCTTCACTTACTTGATCTGGACAAGTTGTTTTATCTCTGCGGGCCTCTGTTTTCTCACCTCCAGAAGGGGAGGTAATAGTAGAACCTTACTCCCTGCCGGGCTGTCAGGACTGCAAGCTGTAGCACATCTATAAGCTTATAAATAGGTGCCTGGCACAGGGTGGCCATTCAGTGCGCGGCATCCAGCAGTGTCATTATTAGTAGTTTAATGTTATAACTGTGTGGGTTTCTGGACACCAGGATGCATGGTGAAAATGGTAAACCTGCAGTTTGTAGGCAGGGAGTGGGATTGTGTGGGATTTGTTGTTGTTTTTGAACTTCAAGACTGTTGGCTAGTATTTATTTGCATTGTATGTATGGCATTAGATTGACAAAATGTTGGCTAAATACAATCAGGTAAAATGTTTTTCAGAAGTTTTTATACACAGGGAAAAATCCCAACCCAAGGAAAAATCCCACTGCAAGTCATTTAGTTGCCTTTTTTCTGTGTGACTTAGTAATTGGCATATAGGTAGAAAGTGCAATGAAAAACCTAGGACATCAAATTCGTTTACATGTGGACACACCTTCCCTTTTACATTAGGAAGCTCAGTGAGTTCTACATGAAATATTATCTTCAAGACTCATATATACGGTGTCCCCAAAAATGTATACACACTTTAACAGCTGATAACTCACTTAATTTTCACTCCTTTTCAGGTTTGTTTAACTGATTTGAAATAATGGGTGAAGCCAGATTAACCTTTGAACAAAAAAAATTTATCCTAAGGTGCCACTAGACTTTTTTTATGGGGACACATAAAAGATAAAGTTTATGGTTCAAAACCAGCAACAGTCAATGAATTGAGGGCACAAAAATACCGAAAGAAATGATTCTTGATGTTTGTGATTCCATTGCTTCACATGATCAGCAATGCCTGGACCAGAACGCTCATCAGTTTGAAAACAGGCATGGACAAAGAAAATTATTCATTTCTGTAGATTCTTTTAAATTTTGAAAATAAACTGTATGTTAATAAACACTGACTTTATAATCATTCAAAATGCATATACATTTTGGGACACCCTGTTTATGGATATGCCTATATATCTATAGAGTCATTTTTTCATGTATACTTACTTGATTTAATATTTA